GGGGCACGTAAAGTCTGGCCCCGGTCAAACTACAAGGCCGCATTTTTTATCATCACGGTCAGTAGTTCGACCGCGCCCGAACTGGGACTAAGACTAAAGGCTAAGTGCCGCTATCGCCAAGCAACGGCTTCGACTCGCTCACCCCGAGTCGAAGAAGAAAAGTCGTCAACAATCAAAAACTAACATGCCTACCAGAGTCAAACTCAAAGGTAAATCACCCCTTCGAACGCATGCAAAGAAAAATCTAAAGGGGAAAAAGGGGAGGTACAAAATAAACACAAGGCAAATAACGGAAAGGAGATCTCATTTATCTACAAAGTTAATTGCAGGTCTTCCCCGCTTACACCCGGCCAAGGCCGATCAATACAAGGAAACAGAAAAGAAAAACAAGAAAAAATGCATATCTTTTTACTCGGCGCCATCCACGCCACCATCTGCACCAGCGTCAGCTTCTGGCGTCGCCGCGTCAAAACCACAGTCGGTACGGGCCTCACGAGCCTTTTGACGCGCTCCCTCGAAAGCAGCTTAGGTCACGATGCCGGCCTCCCACAAATTCTTATATACATCACGTTGGGCCTCGGCAAAGACCCAAAGTTCGCGAGCCTGGCTGGAAGAAGCGGCTTGATCCCGTAGGCGCTGATTCTCTTCTTCTAAGGCTGTGATCCGGTCCGCCATGACTTGGGCGTCCTGCTCAAAGACACCGATCCGCTCCTCGAGACTCGCTTCTCTAAAGGCCGCAGCAGCCCTCTCCAACGTCCGTTGGGACTCGTGCACGCGGATAGCTTCCTTCAACGCCCCAGCCCTCGTCGAGGCATCCCTCACCTGAAGCTTCAATACCGCGACTTCACCCTCCAACGCAGTCACTTTCCCGCTCCATGCCGCAGCGGCCTCCGCCGCCTTAGCCTGGCCCTGGCGCTCACACTCAGCTGCAGCCCTCCTCCCCGCCTCGAGCTCCTCATCCTTCCGCCGGAGCTGCTCCTCGAGAGCACTCGCTCTGCCAAGTGCTTGCTGCATCTGAAGCTCCCGCCTCGCCAGTTCCTCGACCAAGGTCCGACTACGGGGTTCATTCCTCAAGCGCACGCGCATCTCTCGGCACCAATCTCGGTAGCGGCGGTACTTCTCCAGCGCCCGTAAAAATATCCTGAGCGGACGTTGGCTCGACGGATGCTCTCCACCTCCAACAAATAAGACTGCAAAGCAAAGACAACGATTAAGATAAAGGACAAACTAAGGCAAAGAAGAAGCAAACCGATGACATAGTACATACCCTCAAGCCCATCACAGCCACTTCATTCATCACTCCGATATCCGTAACGTCCCTCAACGACGCATTCTCGGCCTCCGAGCATAGCAGCTCAAACTGCGGGACCAAGCTACTCCCTTGGAGCAATAAGTTCAGCTCCGTGGGAACCACGACGAAGCGAGACCGTCCCTCTGCGCGCACCGCTGAATTGGTGAAGCCTTCCTGGAACATACGGACGTCGTCGGGGTCCAAGTCGGATTCAGACTCGTACTCATCTCCTACAACATCCCTTCCTCCTTCCGCCACCAGCGAGGTAGAACCACCCGCCGTAGCCATCGAAGGAGCGCTTGCCTCACCAACATTAGCAGCCGCTGAGGAACTACCTCCCATCTCAGCGACTGGAGCCACCAACTGAGTCGCCGAAGCGACGGTATCATCATGGCCTAAGCCAGCCGGGGCAACCCCCATTGTCTGTCCGCCCTCAAGGACAGCGCCGCGACCGCACTCCTCTCCGCATCCGTCGGAGGAGAGTCCAAATTAATTACCATAGGAGGAGCCGGCGTGAACACGACCCTACGCCTTATCAATGGCCTCTCCTCCTCCCCATCTGATGGAGATTCCGCTCTAGGGCGCACAACCCCCAATGGCCCCTCGTCCCGAAGTGCGGCCCGTGCCGGAGAAGGAACCGCTGAAGATTCAACTGATGCCGCCCTCGGTATTGGGCGCGACACCGGCGCTGCAGTAAGTCGAGCAATTGCACCCGGCCGACGGAAGGCCAACTGAGGGGCCCTGACGCGGCGTGCCCTCCCTGATCACAGAAAAACAAAGTTGATGAATAGAGTTGAAACAAAGCGGAACAGAAGAAGAAATCAATTTTTTACCCGCCACAGGCCTACGGCCATGCCTCTCCCAGAAAGACGCCCATGTGCGTATCCCCACCGTATGGGGGAGCACGGCCTCAACCCACTCACGAATCCCAGCCAACGGAGCCGGCGGCAATTTTTCGGCTACAAAATTGACACGAGTTAACGCTTACGAGCACAAGACGTAAGGAGGGGTAGAAAAAAGAATTCGACGACAAAAGAACTTACGTGCATGATTCCAAGCCTCTGGGAACCCAGCAGAGCACGCCACTAAATGTTCAGTCCTGATGTAGAAGAAGTGCTCAAAAGGGCGAGGGTCGACCTCGTCATCCAGTTTTGCAGTCAGGCCCCTCGACCCACGAGGGCACGCTTGAATCATGGTACCGCGAACCCTCTGGGGAGCGTAGAGACTAAGCACATGCTGCAGCGTGACCTCCCTACCGGCCAGTTATGCATATTTGATAAACATTACTAGCAATTTATAAAGAGAAGGATCAAGCTGACCCAGGCACACCCCGTAATAACGACAGAAATCAACCACCAGCATTGGGAGCGGGAGCTTAAACCCCAACTTGAAGGGATAGGCGTAAAAAATGCAGTATCCCCTGCGGTCGGTGTGGACCCTCTCCTCGCTTCTAGCAAGAACGACGTGAGCGTAGTTGGGGATGACCCCTTGTTTCCGTAGTTGGGCCATCCCAATCTCCCCCATTAATGGGGCTTCATCCACCTGATCCTCCCCGCCATCGGCGGTGAAATCAGTCATCGGACCTCCGGGCAGAGATACTATCTTGTCAATCGACGGAACTTCATCAGTCTCCACCAGTTCTGCACCGCCCATTGCCGAAGATGGCCCTTCAGTCACCGGAGAGTTAACCGGAAGATCCGTCGGAAGAACGTTTTGGGAAGAACTGCCTGCCATTGTTGAGTCAATAACGAGAATGAAACAAAGTTTGAGGGACGAAGACGAAAGTTATATAAATCGAAGAACAAAGATGAAGGTGAATTAGCAGGAAGAAAAGCTTCTTAAGAATCTCTCTCTGGCAAACAATGAAAATATAAAAATGTATGGGTCAGCCCTTATTTATAAGCAACACAAGTGGCTTTCACAAGCCCCAATAGCCTTCATTAACTACATGACCAACTGCAAACCGATTCGGTTCTGCAGAAACACGCGTTGTTATGACAGGCTCCGTGAAGCGGCTCTTCAGTCGCCAACCGGCGTCTCACCTGCGAAACGGTTGCAACGACCCATGAACGCCGAGAGGATGTTCCGTGCGCCTTCAGAACGATGGACGTCGCCAAACACGTATCCAGCGTACCCCTACTCCCTTCGGCTGCACAACATATGACCCGTCCACCATGGTCGACGGCTATGCTCCCAAACAAACGTAAGGATCAGAGCACAACAAAGCTCGACCTCACTCGAATTAAGTTAAAGGGTCAAGCGCCCTCACCAAGGAGGAGAGTTCGACCTCGATCGAACGACGACTTGATAGCACAATAACAAAACACTAACACTCTACAAGGCCAAGGGCCATCGCCAAAGAGAATTCGGCCTCGACCGAAGCGACGGTCGACCTCCCTATCCGAGTTTCTCAAACTACAGTCGATGAAATCCACTCATCGAGCTCGGCCAAGGCACGACCTCAATAAGCGGAGGGACTAACTGTATGGGTCAGAATCCGACCCCGCGATAATTAACGAAGCTAATCCCGTCTTAAGCTAATTCATGATTAATTAGTGGCACGACCACTCAGAATTAACGATATTCAACCCTCATCTGATTCGATCAACAAGGCCATGGCCCATCCGCCACCATGAAGGCGAAATCCCAACGTGGTCACGGCCACTTATTGCCAGCTCACGAAGCTCACAACTATAAATACCAAGAGAGGAAACCCTAGAAAGGGGGCTTCTTCTTCGCCACTATTGACGAGAGAAAAAAGAGACAACGATACCCATATTATGGGCAAGAGGAACACCATTGTAAGGCTCTGAACCTCTTCATGGAGAGGCAGACCAAACCAATATTATCAATAAAGGCTTCTAATGTTTCTCCTCCTAACTCTGAGTACTTATTTTCGTTTCCTTCATTTGGTCCAATGGATTATTACGTTTTGCTATGATTTTCCCGTGATTTATTTATATTGTTTTATACTCATAAGGTATATGAGCAAACAATGTCATTGGTATGATTACTGTATCTAGATTTACTTTCTTTGAACGTAACTTAATCATGATCTAAAACAAGTTTTCAAGAGGACATTTGATATTTCAATTTTATAAACATGATGAAAATAGCAACATGTACCTGTTTTTCCTTGTCTTTTTTTTTCCTTTTTTTTTTTTTTTGTGAGGGGTAGAGGAGGAGGGAAATAATGTAAACATGTGTGCTAGTGCTCGTACAACGGTAGAACCTACTAATTTGCAAGAACATCTAAAAAGGTTATACAAACCGCTTTGTGCTCAAATTAAGCAATAGCCATAAAAGTTGTATATCTTTCTTCCATTTTTATCGTTTAATTTTTGGAAGAAAAAAAAACTTTCATTGTTATCCGTTGTTAATAAACAATAGTTGGCTTCTTGGTTGGGAGGTTCCTATTTTTGTTCTGGTTTTTCTTGTTGGTTTATAACTGGATTCCAACTTGCACATGAGATTTATGGACATTATCTAATAGTAAGAAGTCTAAAAAGAACAAATCTTTTTTTCATACATTCGAACCATTGTGGGTCATATTGCTCTTTATCAAGAAATCGAAGAAGATAGCTATCTAGGTTCAGCTATCTGACACCTTAAATACACCACCTACTGATTTTTCACAGCTCTTTATCAAGAAATCGAAAAAGATAGCTATCTAGGTTCAGCTATCTGACACCTTAAATACACCACCTACTGATTTTTCACAAAGATTCCTTCGGCAGTAGGTAATAGATGGCCACTTTTAATACAAAATTATTCAAAAACAAAATGTAGTAAAGAAACAAGAATAGCAACACGAAAACCTAGTGAAGCTGATATCTCAAAAGTGTTGAGCCTACAACTGACTAGTACAACCACTGATATCACAAGATAGGCTACATACATCAATCCAACAAATCAGACACAGCAGTCTTCTTGAATGCATCAACCTGAGCCAACATGTGTGCCAATCCTTTATTTGGGAATACACTATCCGCTTTCATTCTCTCAGCAATTCCATAACAAGGAGCTTTGGCATTTATATAGGCCCGAATAAGGCATTGGTACTGCGAAATTCGGGAAACATATCCAGCTTGTCTCATTCTGTGAAACATTTTCTCAGTATTATGAACATCACCTCTCTTTGCATATTGTTCCATAATAACCAAATAAGAATTAATCATTGGCCTCAAGCGGTTCTGCTCTGCAGCTTTATGCAATATCGAATCTGCTTTTTCCACTTCTCCTGCTTCAACATAAAGTCTGACTAAGGCATCCCAAGTCAATGGCCCGATTCGGCAACCACTGTCAGACATACGCTTCACAAGGTCCTTTCCTTTCGACAACATCTTATGACTCGCATAAATTCTCAATAAAACTGAATAATGCTTCGATGAGAGTGTTGCCCATTTTGCTGCCATCTTATCAAAGACTGCTTCCGCCTCCTTAATATTATGCAGTTTTCCCCAAGCTTCAACAGCAGCCACACATTCATCTAGCCGAGGATTAGACTCACAAACTTGCCAGATTCTACCAACTTCGTCGGCCTTTCCAAGAGCTGCATAAAGAGGAAGCAAACTACGACAGGCCCAGCGATTTTCCTTTATATCTCCTCCTTCCATCTCTTTTAGCACATTCTCGGCCTTTTCGTTGAGACCACCTGAGACATAATGCTTTGCCAAGATGCTCTTTGTGTTGATATCAGGTTCTATCCCTTCAGCCTTCATGGTCTCAACAATTTGCTCCATTCCAGATATGTCATTGCATTGCCCCTTAGCATCTATCAATGTTCTGTAAGTAAAAAGGGACGGCTTCACATTCTCCTTCTCCATTAGTAAGAGAACATCGGCAATCTTCTTTTTATCAGTCCTCTTATATAAAAGGAGCAACTGATTGCAAGCAAAGCATGTTAAAGGGAGTTCTAGGTCCTTCATTTTGTTAAAAATCTTCTCAGATTTCTTCAGATTACATTCAGCGACGCAATTAGCCAATAAAGTGCGATAAATAACTTCACCTCTGAAAGACTTTGGTATCATCCCAATATAATCTTCTGCCTTTTGTAGACCACGGACTTTAGCAATTAAATCAACACGAGAAGCATAGTCTCTATCAGTAAAAGTGAGATTCTTTTTTGACTCCAACCACTCAGAGAGCTGCCAAAAGCAAGAATTACTATACTTGAATAAAAGCAAGATGATGACAATAGAAATCGACAAACCAAGAAGGACGTAGGTGAGGTGAGTTTGGACAGGATTGTAGTCTAAAATTCAAGACATCAAATGTCCAATCTCAGCCTTCCACTATAATGACGTGATAGATGAAGATGTAGCACACATGATTAAAATAAGATGGCTAAAATGGAAGATGTAGCAGACATAATTAAAATGCGATGGCTGAAATTAAAAGTGTTATAGGAGTGCTTAGAAATATGAAAACACCTAATATGTGAAAGGCTATTTGTATAGAATGATAGTGAGAAAATTGATACTCCCTCCATTTCAAAAAGATTGGCATAGTTCGGAGTACGAGGGTCAAAGTACTTAACTTTGACTGTGAATTTGGACATAGATTCTTCAAGGTTTTGAGAATAAAATTTATATTTTTGGAAACTACATAAAAAGTATAATAAGTAATAAAAATTCATAATTCAAAATATTTGTAAAATATTTAAGAAAAACATGGTCAAAGAACAACCTCGTAGACTTCCCAAATAGTAATAGTGCCAATCTTTTTGAAATGGAGGGAGTATTAAATTGGAGTGTATATTGGGCCCTCAATATATTCACAAAACTGGTATCATAGCAATGCAGTGTAAAGATGGATTTGCAATGATACAAGATTGAAAAATAAAAATGATTAAACCAGACAAAGGGTGCCAATAACACACATATACCATAAAATGAGAAAAGATTATTTGAGATGGTTTGGTCATATCCTACACAAACCTCCAAATGCACCATTTTGTAGGTGCACTACTATGGTGACTGAAGGTGGTAATAGAGGACCCAAAATCACATGGAAGAAAGTTGTTCCAGAAAAAACCCACAATCTCTTAGAATAAATGCAAACTTAACTAAGAATATGACACAGTTGAAGCTTAGTTGTTGTTACTATTATAACAGCGAGATTTACAGAACCTTTAGTTATAGAAAACCCCTAAATTAGAATGTTAAGAAGATGGACTGCGCCAAATTCAACCCAAAACGCTAGCTCAAGACGTGAGGATTATTCAATACCGTATAAGGAGACAACAAATCAGTCACTCAACCAATGCGAACACTCTAACCTCTTTACATGCCCAGGTCTGGACATTTGGAACGTGGATAACAAGTGGAGCCAAAAATTGGAAAACACAACCGGCATGGGTCTAGCTCTAATAATACCATGTTAAAGAAATAGACATTAGATCTAACTCAACTTCAAAAGCTAGCTCAAGAGGTAAGGATTGTTCAAAGCTATATAGAAAGACAACAACTCATTCCCTCGACCAAAGTGAGGCGCTCTAACAAACACATTACTTTCTAGTATGGAACGAATGAACCAAGATAAACCTGAATATATAAAAGATTCATATCACAGCCCCAAATAATATGGGATTGACATCGAGTTCATAGATTGATTGATATGCTATTTTCCATATTCGCCATGTTAAGAGCCAAGTCAATCTCAAAATAGGTTTCGACTTTCAATAATGAGGACACAATAAACATAAAAACATATATCACGAGGGAATGAGATTTCAGGAAAAAAAACTTTCCGTCTTTGCTAAGAGTAATTAGAGAAGTTTTGATCATAATGTATTACCGAAGTTTTCTTGTAGTTTCTCAAACTAGAGAGTAAATGCTTGTGGTAAATCCTAGATTATTGGAAAAAGTGATTTCCTGGTCTTCAAGCTTCATTATTTCATAAATCTCTAATGATTGCTGAGTTTACATGGTATAAACTGAAATATGTAAATGCAATGACCAAGCAACTAACGTAAACAAACAATGATCATTTTTTATGACAAGAAACACAATTAGCATTTTAAGACCCCAACGGTAAAACGCTGTAAATGCATCCAAATATAAATAAGATGTTTGATCTAATATAAAAGACAAAGATTACCTGCAGTGCCCTCCCATACATACGCCTTTTACGAAGATTAAGCATCGCTGCTGCTACTTCTGCCCGTGTCACGTCATTTCCTTCTTCAACCCATTTATCCATAATTTTATGAACAGATAAAGCTGGTGCAGCCACAATAGCATTGTATAATGCTGAAGAAACTCTTTTTCTTGGAGACTTCCGTTTGCTAACATCAGTCTCAGTATCAGACAGCTCTAACTCTCGAGGTGCTTCCACATCTTCACCATCAACATCATCTTCGGAGAGCTCATGCTCAGAGACTGACTCGACGTCTTTGTTGGCTTCTTGTATTGCTTCAGTAGAAGATTCAAGCTCTGAAAACCCATCATCTGAATCACTATCCTCCTCTCCGCTGCTCTTTGTGCCAGCTAGTGAAGAGAAACTTCGGTTTTCCGTGAATAATCTGAGAAAACCATGAGTTATTCCTCGGAATCCTCTAAATCCAAGAGGTCTATCTGAAATAACATTGGAAGCCTTTTTAAACCCATCACCATATCCTTTCAAACATTGACTTGATATTTCTGAAGTGGCAGAGCAAATTCGAGAGTGCCCGGCGGTGAACACTTGTTTCCTGGAGCAGATAACCAATTTCATCAATTTAAGTACCCATATTTATGCTAGAAAAAGCTCCCTCCCTCCCTCCCTCCCTCCCTCATTTGTAACCAGAACACATAGTTATGTTACAAAAATAGCGAAGACGAATAAATGTTGAAAGTAACAATCCTAGCACTCCCTACTCTATATCACTTGCCTTAACCAACATGACAGCGTTCTTGTAAATTTCTAATACTCAAAGTTATCACCAAAACACTACCCTTATGTTCTATTTTCAATTGGTACGGTTATCATATGCCATTTACATTATATCCAAACAAGCTTTGAAAAATGCTCCAGAAATGATTTCTCAATGCAAAATTTTACTTTCCTCTGTAGCAAAAGTAAGCTCTACAGTAGGTCTATACACAGTTTTGCGGGAGACATGTTTCTCGAAGGTCCAGTAACAAGACCGTAGAAGTGCAGAAGAACTCCCCTTTATGTTTCTTAACTGGATTATGATTTTCTTTCTTTTTTATTTTCTTTTTATAACCGTGGTGTCCGTGCCACATTGCGCGCACCTCGACTAATTCTGCGGGATACCTGCCACCTCTCACCAACAGCAGGTACTAGGTAATTCTATCCACCAAGACTTGGATAGATGGGAAGAAATCACCTAGTATTTTTTTGCCTCCGCTAGGATTTGAACCTGAGACCTCATAGTTCTCACCCACTTCATTGACCACTAGGCCACACTCTTGGATGCTAACTGGATTATGATATCAATAAAGAAGAATCGACAAACCTTTCCTACCCAAAACAACAGTAGTTTTCTACTCAGAAACCCCTACAGGTAAACACAAAAGATGAAACATACTTGATTCACCAAACAACTCAGAATGGATCAGAAAAACAGCAAAATTGGATGTGTTTAGTACGAAGGAAAATGTCCTTGGGAAAATATTTTCAGTAGAAAATTTTGAACTTAGGAAAATCAATTTTATCATTCTTTCATAAGATTAAGCATTAAATGTTAATTGCCCAAGCAGCAGTAGAGGGTATAAGGGTAATGTTTTAGTAGTACTTTTTTAGTATTGAAGGTGGAAAGTAGGGAATAAGAATTGAGATATATGCAACAATGGACATGAAGGAAGTCATATTTGCGTCCATGATAAACACACCAGACGGAAAATTCTTGGCTCCAATTGTAAAATATCAAGGGCTGGTATGGAACTGGTGCAAGAACCTTTTTCAAGGGAGATTGGTTAGTTGGTTCTCCATTTCTTTCAACACTACACATACTACAGAATCAGCATTTCTTGAATGAACCTAACTTCACAAAGCAAAATGAGTCATAAAATACAAAAATTTAAAACAAACAGACACAAAATGCAGCAAAAAAAACAATCAACAGAGAACTGTAAGAACAGAAATTCAGAGCTCAGAGATGGGATTACTTGAAGGAAGGAGAGGCTCGACGAATTGCCCACATGCTTTATTGGTTTCGCAAAGGGTAAAGGGTATGAGTTAAGAGTCCGAAATGGGAAGAAACCAAATAATCCTTAAACCCTAAAAACCCTGTCTTTTGAGTTTGCGTTTTAGATATTCTTTTCTTAGCCTTAATGGGGGAAACTAGCAAATATAGAAAACTAGGGGCTAAATTTGTTACATATCTTTGTAAATCTCTTTTTTTTTTTTTTTAGCTAGTATTCCAAATTTATTAACCTGACTAAGAGGATGTTTGGCTAAGCTTATAAGCTGGTCAAACTGGCTTATAAACACTTTTTGACTTATTTACGCGTTTGGTAAAATTAAAAGTGCTTATAAGTTAATGCTTATAAGCCAAAAATAAGCCAAAAGTCATAAGTTGGTCTCCCCTAACTTATCAAATTTCAGCTTATAAGCAGTTTAAGTTTGACCAAAATATTTACTATTCTATCCCTAAAATACTTCTTTTTAAAACAAAACTCTTCGTATACCCAGTTTTTCAGTTGCATATTATTAATTTCAGCACTTTTATCCAAACACGTAACTGCTTATTTTTTAAATCAGCTTCAGCACAAAAAAGTATTTTTCAGCACCTAATGCTTATCAGCTACTCTAAATCAGCTAAGCCAAACAGGCTCTAATCCAGATTATCACAATGTAGAACCCATTTAAAGATTTAATGACAACTCTCTTTTTCAAAAAATGACAAAATATGCTCCTTTGCAGACTTTACCATTTTGATGCCCCCTACCTTCTTATGTCCAAGCTTCACCTACCCCTTGTTTCTTTGTTTCCTTATCTTTTTTTGTTTACTACTTTTTGGTCACGTGCATTGCACGTCAATTCCGATTTATTCAATACACACGATTTTGGAAAACCATATCAATATTATCTAAACATGTTATTCTTATGCATATATAGGTGTATATATCGACTATCTAAATGAAGAACGAAATGACATACACCAAATCAACCAACAAAGATAGTAAAAATAAGACTTTGAAGAATATCTCAACTATTTCGAAAAGAGAAAGAACTAGCATGTTCTTTAATTAAAAAAGAAAAACAAACAATGAACAAATGAAATAAAAAAATAAACATAAACCCATGAACCAAACATATAGAGTTTTAATTTGTTGAAAAAAAAGTATTATATTATTCACATCAAACAACAGAAAATACGTTCAATTTAAAAAGTAACCCAAAAACATTAAATAGAATGCTTGAAAAAGAAATAAACACTACACTTTCTTGTGGTGTAGGAACTACATGGAGGGATGAAGAAAATAAATTTATTTGAGGGGTAAATAGGTGTCATTTTACAAAAGACATTACCAGTGTGAATCAATATTGTTGGCCCAAGATCAGTTGAAGTTTTGAAGAATGACAAACGAACTCAGTGAAGGACCAGGTTCATCTAAGGAGACACAGTGTTATAGCCCATACACATGAGATGCACGTGAAGAAGATAAGTCCTTGAGATCAAGCAGCAATATCTTGATGAAATCTTCTGAACTGATCGAAAAGATTGCATATAGGATAAGGAGTTGAAGTCTCCTTATGAAAAGAGAATTACATCCGGATCAAGAATATGGATTAGGAGTTAGAGTTGTTCTTGGACTCGAATTGTCAAAGGATCCACAATTCGAGTTCTTATCAAACTCTGATTACTAACTCTATAAATATAACGATTGTTCTCTTTTACAGGTGATTGCACATAAGTAGAAGTTAAGCATATTTGAGAGCAAAAAGATCAAGTCTGAGTAGCAAGCAACATATGCGAGATACAAGTGTGCACGTCAGAAGCTACATGAACTAAGATAGAAGAACCAGTTTCATCATTGTGTTTATTCTAAGTCTAGTTCAATTGTAGTAGGCTTTCATATTGTACCTTTCAGCTTTCTTAGAAGCAATTGTATTAGGTACTCTGAGTATTCAAGTTAGAGTTAACTTGAAAGTGTCGCAACAGTTGAGGCTGTGTGCCACACTGGGATTAGAGTTAATCCTTAGGTTTACAAAGAGTTTTGTAAATGCAGTTTTTGGCTCAGTGATTTTAGTGGAGTTGGGAAAATCCTACTGAGTAGTAGGTCGTGGTTTTTTCACCTTTTGAGCCAGGTGTTTTCCACGTAAAAATCTCTGTGCACTTTACTTTCAGTATTTATTATTCCGCAAACTGCTGTAGTTAGACCACTTAGAAGAACCAGGTTCTTCTAACGTGAAAATTAGGTACCACACAAATCACCCCCCCTCTTGTGTGGTATTGACGTTTATAACATCAAATATGTTTTGACTGCGTCTCCTTAATAAATTCTCTTTTCTCGTATGACCTAGTAAAACAACAATAATCATGTGGATTTCATTCCATGTGATGATAAAGAAAACAACAACTAAGCATATAAAAAATAGTATCAACTTTTATGAGTGAAATGGGTAACCCACAATTTAAATCTATCCGCTTAAATATAAATTTCTTTTTTGTCAGGACCCCAATTTTTCCTTCGTAGAATGTCGTATGGAACCTAGTCTTAGGGACTAGGTAAGCCTAACATTCGCTGAAATAATAACCATATTTAACTAACGACTGACCAATACGAAATAGAAGTCTCTATACAAAACTTACAATCCCAAAACCGGTAGTACAAGTTATAAGCTCTACCGAGTTTGCTAGAAAAACCTCTAAATACAACTGTTTCGAATAGAGATAAAACTGTGCAAGTACAATATCAGAAGGTGGCTCCGAAGCCTGCGAATGCAGCAACAGGTTTACCTTGAGTCTCCATAGCAATATCCGAACAGCTAGCTAGCGATAGACTTACTCCGAAATACCTGGATTTGCACAAAATATGCATAAGTGTAGTATGAGTACACCACAGCTGTACCGAGTAAGTATCAAGACTAACCTTAGTGGAGTAGTGACGAGGGAAAATCAAGACACTTATTAGACTAAATAACCTGGACAAGTATAGGTGTAGAACTAACAGAGTACGATATCTCTACAAAGCTACACATAATGACAACAATAATACGGTACTTGCAGATGAAAATAGAAGCAACAATTAGTAGTGGGACACAACAAGTAATAACACAGTAGAGTAAGCTGAACACAGTTTAAATCCGGTGAAAATGTTACACCCCAAGTTTTCATACGTGAGAGTACGTCGTAAGTCATTGATGTAAGCTCGAAAATGAGATTATATTTGGAAGCAAATAAAGTAAGTTAATCATGTTACCTTGGAGGTTACAAATATTTAAGATCATGAATAACAAGTACCAAAAGGGTTGGAAAGCTTAGTCGCTAAACGAATTGAAGAAAATAAGTTTCGTCAAAAATCGACAAGTTTGGAATGTTATAACATATTCTTTTGGGGTGAGACTAGGGTGATTAACATGATTAGGAGGTTAATTTATGAGTTATTGTAGTCGTATTATAGTCGTGTGTTATGTTTTTAAGTCAAACGAGTTATGGAACAAAAGTTAGCAAAGATCATCACAAGTTGCATTTATAATGTGCTGAAATTTAGGTCAAATGTAGATGCACTTTTCTCCCAATATACTTGGCATAAATGGATGATCTACATATCAAATTGAAGATCTACGAGTCTAGTTTCCAACGCATTAAACCGTTCATCAATACGACATCGGAGTAGAGAGATATTCGTGTTTTCGCGAGACCGCGCAAGCAGCTCCCAATGGGACCCACTTAGGCGGTGGTTTGACCTACTTCAATTTATAAACGATTTGGACGCCTATTTTTCACTTATTTTCAACTCAACTTCGTCTCCAAACTTCTCCTAACCCTTCTAAACAGATTCCACAAGGGTTTGAAGTGATTCCAAAGTGATTACACCATATTTCAACATCAAAACTTAGTTCTAGTGAAGAACAACACCTCTTTGAGATTGTGTTGTCATTGAAGATTGTTGTGGGCTGTATTTGGATGAAATTCCAAGTTGTTTCCGCTGTATAAGGTGAGTATAACAGCCTACTAATTGTGCTTAAGCTTGCTTGTATGTTGGTTAAGTTGTTAGGATGATAAACTACAAGATAGTACTTGGATTAGCTTAAGTCACTTCTATGGTGTTGTATTGCTATTGAGGGTTGTTGTGAGCTGAATATAACTTGGATTTCGACTTGAAGTTACTATAGGAGTTGTGTGTATTGTGTTCTTGCATGTGCTTAAGGTTATCTTGATGTTGATTAAGTTAAATGGATGGAGTAGACATGAACTAGTGAATAAAGCTACTAATTGAAGATAGTTGGAGTTGAGGATTATCATGTTAATGATAGTTTTAAATTAATGTAAGAAGTCTATAAGGGGTGATATGGGTTATACGGATTCCAATCGGAGCTTGCCGCTCGTCGTGAAGTAGTTGTGACTTGTTGTTGTTATATGGTGTCTTGTTATTGATATTTATAGGCTGCTGGACTTTTCTGGCTGTTGTTGTTGGTATATGGTATTGGAGGAGGTCCTTGTTACAAGGGAGATGCTGCCCGAATTTACGTAGACGAGCTACTAGCTTAAGTTACAGACTTAGCCTTTGTTCAACACTGATTTTGAATCTCCTTATGCTATGATAGATCGAGTTGACTTGTTTGAAGAGTTGCTTGGAAGGTATTAAGGACTCAACATGTTTAAGGTATGTTAAGGCTCTTCCTTCATTCTTTTGGCATGATCTAAAGTGAAACGAACATAAACGATACGCTATTTCATAATGAATCTACTCCTAGCAACTAAGGTTGTCCATGTTATTCTTTCCTTACAAAGTTATTCCAAGAAAGTATACATGATCCTTGAGTCCTAGTGAAGTTCATATTGATGGTATGATGTCCATAA